TGCTAAGGGTATTTGTTTTAAATATTTTTCTCCTCTAAAAGAGTTATCTAATAAATGCACATTGAAATTCATAGTCAACAAGGAGCTTAGTATTAGGGAAATAGCATTTTCACAGAAATGTTCACTTACCTTCTTATAGTTTGCATAATGGGAGGAATCCAGCTGGATGGTTCACTGTAGCATCAGAAATTCGTAATTGGATAAAGTGTCTTTCAATACCTTTTAGTGTATGTAAGCCCTGTATTTTCTCCATTATATATTACAAAACTGCAAAGGCCACAGAGGGTGTTTGCTTTCCTGTTTGGTGGACTACTTTAAATTGGTAGAGCGAGTCCTATAAAGCACCACTTAGGTCTTCCCTGTCCAGTTACAGTTAACTGTCCAGTTATAGTTAATGGGGAGGGTGTAGTAATAGTGAGCTGGGATGCTTACTGATGTTTTCTAGAAAAATAGCAATATACTATGATGATATATACAGGCAGTTGGCTTCCAAATGGCAAATTAGTCTGTACAAGAGGTAACGTATATCACGTACAAGAGGTAAAGCAGCACACTGACAAAGCCTTTTAAGCTTGTGTTCACACTGCTTACATAGCGACTGGGGCCTCATGAGAACAAGATTTTGGTTTTCAGAAAATGTAAAAATGCTACCAAAAAATGTGCTCTGCAACATTGCATTCTTGCTGGGGTGCAGGTATTGGGGAAAACAAAACGTGCAGCTTGGCTAAGCAGTGAAAGGGGTAAGACAGCATCTGTTCAGCCAGATGTACGGATCACTGCTCGTTGACATTCATCTCCATTTTCATGGCTGCTCAGATTTGCAACCAAGATTTTACAGAAATTCACAGTGATTTTAAAAATAAATGGCCCTAGTTTGAATAACTGATTCAGTGGAATTTCTGTAGCCATCATACAGTTGTGTGAAGGAGTATCTTTGGTCTTGTTTTATTTTCATTAAAATTTTTCTATAGCAACTTTTTTAATGCTAGTGCTAAGTCTTTGCCATGATTCATAATGCAGTGGTATGTACTATATTGAGGATTTAAACAATAACAGTAAAGCAGGAACTTTGATGTAACCTTAATTTATTTTCATTTTTAAATATTTCATTGATGGTATGGTTGTGTTACATTTAACCTGTGTGTCTGGCTAGTGGATTATTACACTGTCTTAATTTCCCTCTTACACTACCTTTTTCCATAGATTATTTTGTAGGATGCTTGTTTGCCTTCTATCTGTACTTAGGAAGAGAACTTGGATATTATCTCTATGAAGATGCTGTTAGAAAATGAAACCTTGAAAGTTCTTTTTGAATTTAAACTTTTAATACATGCAGAAAACTTTTATGGATCGTTTTGGATTATGGTAGTCTTTTTACAAAGATGTTTTTTGGTTCTAGCTGCAGCTTAAGTAGGTAGGGTTTAAATATCAGAAGCTAATAAAAACCTTTTGCTTCTAGTGCTGGCCTCATTTTTCCTGTCTCTTTACTATTTCCATCAAATGCAGAGGTGCATACCTCAAGCAGCTATCTTTGAGAAATCAGTGCAGCAGTCTACATTCCTGTCTTCCACTCAGGTTTTTACTCAATGGAAAGAATCAGGAACTCATTACAGTTTGGGCTGAATTCCTGATTTAGCCAAAAAAAAAAGACTGAAAATGTACTACAATTAAAGGGGAGGTGGGGGTTTTGGGGGGGGGAAGGGGGAGGAACAGAATACCAAAAACTGCAAGGAAAAAGATGACCTGAAAGCATCTCATTTGTTAACTGCACCTACTCTGGTGCAAAAGGCAGGAACTAGTCTCTTCCCTGGTTGTCTGCTCTGTGGATTGGGAATATGTGGTCCTGTTGTCCTGCAGTTGGTTTGACAGGCTGATGTGGCGTCCTCCCCTAATAACCTCCAAATCTCTGGTATTGGTTTCTGATTTTGGTGAAAATGATTTCTTAGATCTCTTTGAGTGGGAGTAATACGCTTTCTGATGCTCTGGAGGGTGACTTCCCACCTGTTACTCCTGACAGCTCTGACTCCACTTCCTTATTGTTGTTCTGAGTTATGAAAAGTCATTGGTTTGCACAATGATGTTTCTGGTTTAGCAGTTTCTGCACTTGCTTTGTTTGCCTAGGGAAGCATGTAGGCTGTGTGCAGCACATCACTTTAATATGTGAAGCCATAGACCCAAGATTATAACAAATTATTACTTTAAATCTACCCTCAGTGGGAGTTTGGTTGCAAGAAAGGTGTTAGTCTATTATTCTAAGGCCCCTCCTGCCAAAATAGCTGTTTCAGACCCCCGAGGACCAAAGGTAGAGGGGAGGTTTTGCCCTTCTTTGCCCCAAGGTGGAGCAGCCCAGCCTGTGTGACAGCAAAATGCCTCAATCTCACCCCTCCCCTGCAAGGCACAGGAGTACACCCATACCTAGGTGACTTGGACGATTCTCCCTTCTTCCTAAAGAAAGGCTGGAATAAATACACATCTACACAAGAAAATTCCAGTGTAGGCCTATAAAAGTTAAGGTTTTCCTTTTGACACATTTTTCTTAACAACTATAGTCTGTGACAGAATACAGTGCCTGTCACTACAAGGAGCGTTACAGCACTATACGTTTCACCAGGAAGCCTTATTCCCATTTTCTCACTGTACCACTGAGAGGATGGGTCTACTCTAGCCTCCATGAGCACTAGGAGGCTCTACTACGTTAACTATACCCTGCAGCTGCAGCAGCGTAATTGGCATGGCAGATAAATCCAGAGTGCATCCATCCCCAGGGAGCTGAAGCAATTGAAATATATCTGTTCAGAAGTGCTTGGACTTTTCTAAACGCACAA